TTGCACAAAGGTAAGACGGGAAGGACTGAACTTGTGATTGAGATGGGAGATGGGGACTCAGGGGTCCTGAGTTCAGTTCATGTCTCCATCTTAGACTCCTTGGGCAACCCAAGGCAAGTGAGTTTTTTTTATTCCCAATCTGTAAAAAGGGCCTAATAATCCCCTTTACAGGGTGTTTAAGGCCAAGAGAAGCCATTACTTCAGTAGGCTGCACCATCTCCCAAACTACTAGATTGATTGGCTCTGAACGTCCTGACCTCCATTGTACTACAGGCCATTCTGCTCACTCAGGTCCCTCTGTATGGAGACCAGCAGCTTGTGTCATACTTCCAGCAAAAGCAGAACCTTTGTCCTCTCTCTCAGGGCTTGTCTGGATCCAGGAAAATGTCTGGAATGCTAAATTGTCATCTACTTGCTAAATATAGTCATCTACACTGATTCTGTACGTGGACACTGGAAGTATAAAGAGCAGGGTTTGCACCCTGGGCAAACCCTGCCAGGGGGAGAGGCAGAGGAAAAGGGGGAGAAGGTGCTGTTGAATGCTGGAGGGGTTTCAGGGGTGGGAATATTACCTATGCTGAGGACTTAAAAACAATCCTCAGCTGCTGTTTCCACAGTGTGGTCTGCCCTTTCCCAATGTCATTCTTACAGCAGCAGTGCAGTGTTGGTGCACCTGGCTGTTGCTTCAAGCAGCAAGCCATGGGGCTACTTCTCCTGTCAGGCACAGACCCCACAGGGTGGGGGATGATTCTGGTGCCCCCACTAAGTTGGCACCCAGGGCTGGTGCCCCATTCACTCTCACCAAGTTACGCTACTGGTGGACACTCATTCCATGCAGAGAGTGTCCTTGTGCAGGTTAGCTCCGTCCACTTGGGAACAAGAGAACTCATGTGGCATAGCTGCCTGGCTCAAAATTCACACCTAGCAATAACTTCCCTATGTGGACAAGCTCTCCTTCTCTTTGTGTGCTTCTTTCCAAGTCCCATACTTTCTGTTTATCACCCTTGTTTCCTCAACTGTTTTCCTTCGGGAGCTAAGACCCATGTGAAAAGGCAGTGACTGGAACAGCATTCTTTACAGATCACTGAGAATGCAGGGTCAGATCCTTCTTCTATAACAGGGGTCAGCAACCCCCAGCATGTGTGCTGAGCATGGCACACAAAGCCATTTTGCTCGGCACACCACCGCCAGCCTGGGCTCTAAGCAGCTGCTGCTAGCCATGGAGCCCAGGCTGCTCCCAGCAGGAGGCTGCGAGGCTGCAAGCCCTGCTGCAAGCAGACTGGGCTCTGTGGGCTGGCTGCAGCCAGGAGGCTGCAAACAGCTGCTCCGGGCTCCGGCATGTTGGTACTCCGGCACCTTCCAAGGTAGACATTGTGGGGTTTTTGCCACTCAAGCCAAAAAACATTGCCTGCTCCTGTTCTATAACATGCCATCATCTTAGCCTTAAGACTAAACCACAAAAAAGAGCAGGAGGAGGACCGACCAACCTCCTGCATTCATTATTTTTCATGGATTGAAGTGGGGTGAAATAGGATCACACTTGGACACCTAAGTCCTCTTAGATGCCTAAGAGGTAGAAAAGGATCTGGCCCTTAGGCACCTAAGTCCATGTAGGCATAGTAAGTTGAACAGGCTCTGTCTCATAGTTATCAGAGAGGAAAGGGTTACAGCAACAAAAGCTTAGGCCTGTGTTATCTCACCTACAGCTTAGCATTTCCCTCAAGATTAGGTAGCTCCCAGTTATCTTAGCTGCCCTTATGCTTTTGGGAACCATAATACAACCTCTTCCTCTGTACGCCCTCCTCCAACTCTCCCAGCCTCAAAGAAGTGGGTTTTAATAGCTGCCATTTTCACTAAGGGCACCCTGTTCTGAGTGCCCCCGCCCTCAACCTTAGGTTTACAAGCTGGCTGATGGGGATAAGCCTACAAAGGAACTGACACCTTTGTTGCTCAGTATCAGTGATTGGGGCTAACTCTACCCATTGTCTGTCTTCCTGCAAACCAGCCAGGACTGAATTAACTCTCTGTACCCAGTCTGCAAAGAAACAGAGGCCCATATTGTCTGGCTAAAACAATAACACACTGGCATCTCCCACCTTCTGCTTGGCTAAGGCATCTCCTCCAGAAAGGCATCAAGGCAAACTTACCGCTTCCTTTCCTTCATTGTCTTTCTTTCCTATTCAAACTGTGAGCTCTGGGGCCAGGACTGTCTCTGATGATGTATTTGTACAGTGTCTAGCCCAGTTTCCCTCACTGGGATTTCTAGCTGCTGCTGCAGAAAAGCTTCAGGCCCACTGGACAAACCCAGGGTAAAAGATATTCTTCTAGACATGGGGCATTATGGTACACTGGATGCGTCTACACGAGCCGCCCACTGCGCAGTTGTTACTGTGCAGTCATTTAGTACTGGCATAACCAAGTATTCAATGATTATGCAGTAACTGGCGTTTCTGCACAGTAGTGTCGTGTCACGGTTTATGTCCGGCGATGCTACTGTGCAGTAGAAACAAGCTACTGCACAGTAAGCATCTCATATAAACATGCCCACTGAGACCAAAGCTATTCTGCCTCTGCAAGTGCTAGAGCAGCACTGAGAAGAGCATCCCACCCATGTGAGCCTACCCAGTCCAGGCCAAAGCCTGGAAGTTAGACTGTGTAGCCAGTCAGAAGGGTCACGAGTACCTGGGGAAACTTAATATGTGCAGAGCAGTGCTGCATAGGCCATGTCTGAATTCTTTTCTTGGTGGTCCTCCTGGCCTCACTACAGAGGCAATGCAGACAGGCATTAAGTGATCTGCCTGAGGTCATACAGGAGCCTGTGGCAGAGCTGGATAACCAAATCTTAATCCTTTACAATGCAAATCTGTGCCTTGATCAGAAATACTACCTTCCTCTTCTCCTGCTGTGTTTGTATGTGAAGTTGAAGGCCAAACAAGCGTTTTAGGGGAGCTTGGGAGCAGGAGAACCACAGGCTTGGGCACTGAGATAGGTTCAGACAGAGGTTACAGAGAAGGAATGTGGGAGACAGTGCAGCTTCTCCATTGCTAAAAGCAGAGGGGAGCTCCTCCTTTTTTTTTAGACCAGCCCCTGCTGCTCCCCCTCTTCTTTTAGTCTGCTTCAGTCTTTGTGTTCACACTGTCCCCTGCAAAATAACAGCAGGGCTCCAAGCAGGAGAACTCAGTTCCCTCCCCTGGAGCTGCTGTGCAGTTGCTGAGCTGGCAGAAAGCATTGGCTCACTGGTAGGTCTCTTTTCAGTGCCAGGGCCCAGGCAGTTTCAGGCCAACATCTGCATTATTCATGTGGCACTTGTGTCCCAACTACGCCGCCTCCTGTTCTTCCTGCAGCTCCACTGGGATTGAGCTTTTGCTGTTGGACAGTCTCTGTGCCTCATACCAGATCAGCTCTTTCATCTGGATACACTGAAGGGGGCTGCAGCTGTTTTTTTTATTGTTCTGGCAAAAGCGGCTTCCTTATGACTGCCTCCACTCCAGCCTCCCATTTCTGCTGAAATCTGAGATCCCAGATCCAGAGATCCCAAAGGAATTCCCACTAAAAATGTTCCAGCCAGTTGTGCAAACATTCCACACAGCTGGCTGAGGCAGGGAGGGAGGGGGAGTGAGTGGGCGGCAGGAGCCTGGATTTCCAACTTCTTGTTTTCATTCTCTTATTTTCATGGCAGTAACATCCTGTCTGGGTTGGCTGATTCTGGGGTGGAGACCAGCTCCTAGCCTAGGTCCCTCAGCTTAAGGATCCCTTCCCCAGGGTTTCTGCTTCTTGTCTAGGTCCTGCCAAGCCTGAGGTGGAAGGATGAGGCTGAGCCAGGAATGGTAGGATCCATTCTGAAAAGTCAGAGCTGGGCTGGATGATGGTGCCCTGGAGCTGCATGGTCTGGCTGGTGCTGGGCAGTACATCCTGGCTCAGACAGCTGCTGTTGCTACCAAGGGCAGAATTGCACCTTGTTTACAACAAATGCTGGATTCTGGGTCACTCTGCAATTATGCGGTGCCTGGGGGCAGGGGAGTATGTACATATGCATCAGTAGGGTGCATGGGAAGGGGAAGAGAGAGAGAGGTAGAGCCTGAGAGTCAGCGTGGATATTATTGTCTTAAGGTCTGCAATCCAGGATGCAAGGAACTGAACTAAAAAGAAAACTGAGGTCTCTTCTTTTTGTCTGAGGTTCCTCTAGTTGCCTCGTGTATATATGTCACTAGAATGCCATAGGTGACCCCCCAGCCTGTCCTGTGGGGAAGTCAGTCCACACTGCTCAGGCCCCAGGTGCACCCTGTTGTCAGAGAAGGAAGAGCTGTACCTGGAGCTTAGGTATGAGCCTGGTGATGCTGCCCACAAGAGAAGGATTGTGGCCTGTTCCTATGTCCTGCTTGACCTTTGCTAGTATGGTAGAAGAGATTGGAGGGGAGGAGAGGGAACGAGGTGTCAGTGCAAGGAGCAGGAAAGTGGACGTGGGAGTTTTAGTAAGAAAACGATTGGACACAGCAGGCCTGGGCAAAGCTGCCAAGAAAAAGACAAATAAGGAGCCATACTGTCAGCGGAGGCTTGGTTCTAACTGCTTCAGATGGGCTACAGTATGAGACTACTCAAAGGCAGTGGCTGAGGGACGAAGACCAGGATTCAAAGCCTAGGAGTGTTCATATGAGACCTGGCAATTTTTGCCCTTTGCTGCTGGTTCCTAACTGTTCCTTCAACTTCACACTTGGAGGCGGGGCACAAAGGCAACTAGCTCCAGCATCTTTCTCTAAGAACAGAATATCTGGAGAGGTCAATTTTTTCACCCTCCCTGCCCTGTCTGTTTTAGTTGCTTCCTCCCCCTCAGCCTTCTCTTTCTTCTTGCACTTGGTGGGTTCTTGGAAGAGTTCTCCCTTCCAGTCCTGAGATCCCTCAGTGGTTATGAGACCAGCCTTGGGAGTTAATAATTACATGGAGCAATGAGTTAATGTGTTGCTTTGCGAAGCTAAGGATACTTTCCCCGCCTCCCTGATGCTTCTTGGAGGTAGCAAAGGTTAGGGCCACGGTGTCGCAAAAGAGGAGACAGGCAGGACTTTGGGCCTCAGGGCAAAAGGGAGGCCTCCACTTTCCATGCCCCTCCTGTTGACCTGTTATTTGTTCCCAGAGGCCTGCATGGATCCTGAAGGTGTAGTGGAACGACTGACCCACACCTGTGGATGACATGGACTCCTGTGAGTGGCTCTACTGTAAGATACCCTCAGTCACCGCATTACGTCACCAGCTGTGCTTCGCCATGGATGCAGGGACCACTGTGTACAATCTATCTGCTTTTGATTACCCATCTGGAGCTAAAGCAAGGGAAGGGACAGCAGAGACCTGGAATGTCGGTGTTCTCATGTGTGAATGTCCTGTCGGGGCATCACAGGATGGAGAGGGGCCCTCGGCTGTAGGAAGGTAGGAAGAAGTTGGTTAAGACCTAAGATGTAAGGGTTTTGAACTGCATCAGGGAAGGGCATGGTGCTTTGGTTTGGTCTGAGGTGGAGCTGAGGGGTGAAAAAGGGTAAGGGACTGATGGTCAGCATTCATTGCAGGGGCTGGGGCAGTGCTTGAGGAAGGGAAAGGTCATGCACTGATAGTCTAGCTTCTCAAAATCTTAATCCTAGTGCTTCCTTTTTCAGTGATCCTGACAGACAGCTGGCACTGTAATTCAGCTGCTTTGTCTCTGTTTTCTGTACGTTACTGCATCTTTAAATTCCAGATTTTCCCACTGAGAGGATGAAGTCCTTTTCAGTGGTGGGAGGGATGTGCTGGAGTCAGGGAAATGGGGGTGGGCAATGGGGAAAGAAGTTGCAGTTGTTGGTGCCAATTTAAATCCCAGCCATACATTGTTATGACCCCCAGCTGGGCTGCTTGGCGTTCTGCTTGTCCAAAACTGCTTCTCCTGTTCCAACAGCAGAATAAAGGGCATATCAACTCCTGCAGATCTCAGCTCTAGGGGCAAGTCTTTTTGTTAAGTCCAGCAGTGCAAACCCCAAGCCTTCAGACATTATGAATCAGGACCTCTCAAATCAGGGGACTGGCTTAAAATCATGAAACTCTTTTTTAAAGATAAAAATAAACTTCCTTTCCTTTCCATTCTGTTCCATTTTGCCTTCTTGTCTCCTTGTCTCTAAGCTCTTGGTGTGCATTAACTTCACCTTCTTAAGCTTTTCTTTGCAATCATGGGGGTTAGAAACTTGAATCTTATTTATTTATTTTTTTTTAAATTGAAGTCCCCTGCAGTCACTTGATTCCAACCGCTGGAGCTTTTTGAGAAACAGCCACTTTCACAAGTCTTGCATTAGACTGATAGAATTGACCACCGTGCCTGCCTTCCCCTGAGAAATCCATGTGCTGGCCTCTAGCTCCACACGTCTGTTTCCATATGCCTATTTGCAGGGGTTTGGAAGACGGTCTTGTGACTCAGCATTGGGCTAAGATTCAGGAGAGCTGAGATAAATTCCTGGCTCTGCCACAGTCTCTGTGTGTGACCTTGAGTACATTACGAAATCTTTGTGCCTCAGTTCCCCATCTCTAAAATGAGGGTGCTTGCAAGCTTTCCTTTTTCAG